AATCTTCTCATTCTCTTTTATTCCCAGTCACCCCTGGCGTTTTATTAGTATCATCGCCTTGCTTGGAGTGAAATGATATTGTTAAGATTAGCAAAATAATTGCAATCATATCTAAGACTATTATGGGTATGATCAGAACCCAAAATGTCCATAACAATAATAATAATTCTGATTCAGGTATATAAAAATTTCACATTCATAATTGTTTCTTACAATATATTGTGGAAACTTGCAGAAATCTATCAAATTATCCATAAACACAAAAAGGATACTGTACATAAATTATCAAATGCATTAGAAATAAATTCAACCATAACTTCGATCTAAAGAATGCTAAACTTATTAAAAGAGAAAGTTACTTAGAGTGAAAGTTCTTGCGAGGGACCCTATTGAATCTTGTCAAAATCTGAACATGCGATCTGTATTTTTTCAAATACCTCCTTTTCTAAAAGAAATACTCATTTCCCCAGTCAACATATAGGACAATAAAAGTTAAAAAAATAAAATCAAGAAAACGGTTAAATCAAAAGATTATTTAAAATACATAAATAATTTATCAATTTAAAGTAAAATAATAATTACATTAATAAAAAACGTAAATGAATAAATATAAGCAAATAAACTTTCAGCAACTTTCGTTTATTCGGTATTAAATTGCATTACTTAACATCTCCAGTTTATCTACTTTTTCAGTTAGCCTTAAGGATATTTTTGAGCGTTCTTAAATTTAAAAATGTTGAAAGCTTAAAGATATATTATTTTTTTTAACCTTCTTTTTATAAATACGTGTTGCGTGATAAAATCCAGCAGAGGACGAAATGCGTTCGTATAGAAAGTTTTCCTTTTGTCTTTATTCATATATATATATATATATATATATATAAAATTGTATATTTCTATGAAAGCCTAGATCTACACGTATTAAATTTATCATATGATACTTTAAATGAAATAGCTCTAAGCGAAACCCTCTTTCATGTGACGAGCTTAAACAAGGTATTAATCAAAAATAATTAAAAACGTTCGTATCAAATTATATCAGAACTAGTGAGTATCAGCATGGTATCATATTTAGTAAGCTCTTTTGATTGTTGAGCATTACTATTGAATACCGGGTTTGAGCGTCGCTGGTTACCCAACACGTGTGTCAACCTAATAAAATAACAACTTACATTGTCTAAATATCCCTAATTTTTGAAAACATTTCTAAGCATAACTGCTAATTTTGGATTACTATTCCTGTTGATCCCAGGTCGGTGTTGTCCGAACGTTCAGCATGGATCAGAAATAATAATAAAAAAAGAGTTTTAGGCGAGATTTGAAGTCAATTCCTTCTTTAAAGCTTTTCTGATCGTCAAGCGCTTTAACCAATTAACAATCAACCAGTGACACCTTTTTACAGATGTTTGCAAGGATACACCCCCTGCTATTTAAATGTCACAACTTGAGGCAACAAAAATTTGGTTTTACAGAAGGATGTTGAGAATACCATGGACTGCACATGTGACTAACGACGAAGTTTTAAGGAAAATGGAAACAAAAACGACACATATTTCAAGTTAGAAAGTGACAGTTGAAGTTTCTCGGACACATAATGTGGAAAGACGGCTTGGAGAATTTGTCACTCACAAGGGATATTGAAAGCAAGTGGAACAGAAGAAAGCATAAAATGACCTACTAACGAGTTTGTTTAAATGGTTGGCAAAACAGGAATTTGAAGGGACAGTAAAAAGACAAAACTTACTAAGACCTACAAAGGAAGTTGTGGAGAATCATGATCGTCCACGTCTTGAAGAGACATGGTACGTAGAAAAAATATATATAGCAGAGTTAATGCCACGTATTTACGGTTACTTGCATCATAGTAGCGCCAATCAGCGGAATTAAACGGTAGCAAGAACAGCCAAGCGGCGGTTAACGGATCTGAATAAAGAAGCTGCCGGACACTGGCTTGCAGGCTTTGGAATTTTTATGTTAAATTTTTTTTTTAAGCATTTTACCCCAAACAAGGCTGGAGTGCCACTAGCCCGCAATGGGTTACAGAGAGTGAAAGTAAGTGTAAAGAGGGGTGTTTGAGGAAAGGATAAAGAGAAGGACGGGGATCAAGGTCAAGGCATCAGAAGATGTCGCTTGACATTACATTTAAATTTCTGAAGATATAATCTTTATCAGGGGAGCAAGTGAGAGGAAAGGAATTCCACTGTCGGGAAGTGCGGGAGAAGAAGCTGTTGGAGTAAAAGAGGCGGTTACATTTATCTGTTTAGACGATGAAAGAGTGGGATCGAGATGCCAACCTAGTAGCACGCTTAAATTCATTCAGTTGGGGCACCAGTGAAAAATAGCTCCTCAGGGCAGTTGCCATGAAAATATTTGTAGAAAAGACAGAGGGAAGCCACAGCACGTCTGTGAGAAAGTGACTGGAGTCGAGATGTCAGGTCAGAAACTATCACATTGCATAATCCATCTGAAAATGTAAATACGTTTCGAATCGCTGCTCTTTGTTCCTCCTTTGTGCACACTGCTAGTGGAGCGGTCATGTTTCTACTGTAACAGCAGCAAGAAAATTGGTGCAATGAAGCTCAAACTTCGATCATGTGACTACAATAGCACCAACATGAGTAGAAAAGCAGTGTGACAAATCTAAAGATATATTATGGCTAAAGTTTTGATAATTTTTAACTTACCCTATATATATGCAAAAAAAAGATAAACAAATGTGTATATAAAATGCTGCGTCTTGCTCAATCAAAGGGTTAAATCATCTTACTGCTCTGTTACAATTCTAGAACCACCCCCACTCATATCACCCCGGAACACTTACTGCCCCCTTGAGAGTACACAGATCTCCAAGAGAGCGTTACCGCCCACGTTGAGAACCACTGATGTAAGAAATTCAAAACTACGAGGGGTGGAGCCAAAAGTCTATTGCTTGACAGTTATTAAATGAATTTTAATCTGACATTTTTCACTGTATAACGTTCAGAGATTAATGGGGGAAGTATTGGCTTAAGTGCATTGACGATGAAGGAAATCATGTTGAAAAATATTATTTTTGCCTAATTTTTTTTATGATCACATTACGAACTTACTGATGCGCCTCAGTAATTAGAAATTTTGTTATCAATAACAAAAATGCTATGTTTAAAAAAGAGATTACCTTAAGTTCTTCTAGTGGATCACTTTGTGAAAAATCAGACTATTACTAAAAGCTTGCGAGATCAAGTAAGTAATTATCACTCTATGGTAGGCGACCAGAACGAAGACAGTAAGACAGAACTAAATGTGAAAATAGTTTAATGGCTCGAGTCATTTATAAAGGGTGTTCCAATAACTTGGACTGGTTTTAAAATTAATTCACATTTAAAATCGGTCCAAGTTATTGGAACATTCTTTAATTTAAGAGTGAATGGTCTCTTTTTAGCTAAATTAAATATACGAAACTAGAATCAATAATCCTGACATATATTAGGAAAATTTTAATCTTCACCATTATGATATTTTATCTATGTACTTAATATAGTGCACTGAATTAAGTGCAGTGACAAAGAAGGAAATTATTATAATGAAAAATAAATATCTGTTGTGTAAAATACTTTTTTTCCAAACATCATGCTGCAATCACGCTGATGTATCTATGCTTTCGGATTACCATATATTTATCAGAGGTCCGTAAGCTGTCCACCGGCACAATTGATAATGGACATGAAAGTAATGCAAACACGGTCATATGTCAAGAAGGTAATTCCATACTGAAATGTCGAAAAGAATTAACATTTTAAGGCAAAAGCTTCCTTAAAATGTGATTTCTTTCAACTCAAAACGTAGTAACGTATTGCAGATCCATAATAATTGATCCTGTAATCACATCCCGAAGAACTGACATTTTGATCCCCACCCATTAAAACAAAAAGGTTTCTAACGATCCCGTAAACTTCATGTTTATTCGTTATTTTAACACATTTACTGTTACACGATAAACATGTCCGTCAAGTGACACGATGCAGAATGTGTTTAACGCTCATGTGCGTTCATTTCACGGATTTTGTTTTTCTAAATAACATTTTGTTTAACTTGATTTGCATAATTGTTGAATTTCTTGTAGGGTGGAGAGAAAAGTGACTATGACGCAGAAAAAAAAGTGCAAAGGATACACATGAACGTCATTCTTTATAGTTTAATTAACCAAAATAAAGCGGAAATAGTTTTCTAGATGCAGTCGCAAATCTAAGTAAATAAATGGTGTTATGTAAGGTTTAAAATATCCGAAATAGTAGCGAACGTGTTAAGATTATTTGTACAGGCCGGTTTTGTCTATCACAATGACTATTTAAAAATAAAATAAAAATTATTAACTAGAATTTTCTAATGTATCTCCATTTAATGAGTATTACATTACATCCAATCGAGATTCTTACTAACCGTATTCTCTTAACTTTTGCATTAAGAATCCGATACTCCACTATTGACGTTTTTTTTTAAAAGGCAATTCTTAATGAAAAAAAAAAAAAAAAAAAAAAAAAAAAACTCAAAAAACAAAACAAAAAGAAACAAAAAAAAACAAAACAAAAAGAAACAAAAATCCAAGAAACCAACTGCCCCAAAGACAAAACCAAAAAAACAAAACCAAAAAAACAAAACCAAAAAAACAAAACCAAAACCAAAAAAACAAAAACAAAAAAACAAAAACAAAAAAAGACAAACAACCCCACCCCAAAATAAAAAAAAACAAAACAAAAAAAAACCCCCCAAAAAACCGCAAAAAACAAAAACGAAAAAAACAACCCCCAAAAAACAATACCCCCAAAAAAAACGAAAAAAAAAAACAAAACCAAAAAGACAAACAAAACACCCCCAAAGAAACCCAAAATAAAAAAAAACAAAAATAATAAAAAACAAAACACCCCCAAAAAAACAAAGCAACAAAAAAATCCCCCGCCAAAAAAAAACAAAAAAAACGACGTGTAATTTTCACGTTATATACATGTAGATGTCGGCCTTACCTCTTTTGTGTGTGTGTCCTTGGCTACTTTGTTGAGGAATGCAATGATATGAGAGCGAAGAGAAGGTACTGCTGCCTTCCACAGTACCACTAATTGTTCCCGCAACCTGAAAATAAACAAAGAAATCGAAATATATTATTGGTCAAATTCTTTTTTATATTACATTTATCTCTTTTGCATTGGCAATAAGCAGGTAGCAGTTTCTTTATGACAATGGCGAATTGTTCCAAAAACGAAGGAAACATGTGAAAAAACCGACTTCGTGAGAGTGTAGAGTACAGCCATAAAAAAAAAAAAAAAAAAAAAAACTGTCCTTGACGCAATAAGTAAACTAGAAAAACTTTCACGTTCCTAGAAAACTAACATTTTTCGATTTTATATCAAAGTATGGCAAATATCAAAACAACATTCTGGATGGAAAAAATGACAACGACACTTAAGCACTTCTGAGAATAATTTTATACTTACCGAACAAAACTATCAGAATAATACAAAGCTTTTCGTTCGTTTGGTTTCAACTATTAAAAGGTCAATATGAATATTAAAATGTTTTTTTTTTTTATTCATTAGTTTGAATAAATATTTATTTTTTGATTATACACCGCTGAACACTATGCTTGACTTATTACGTTCAAGAAGCGAAGAAAAGAAGGAATGTAAACTGCGATGTAATGTCTAACCTCGTAAAGAATGCTGGATAATTTTGTCATAAATGAAAGGACTGAAAGCGATAGCGATGTGGTTTACCGATGAATGTTGGGAATTCCATGGAGAGTGCATGTGAGAAACGATGAAAATTTAAAGATAATAATAATAATAATAATAAAAAAACACTTTTACTAACAATCACATAGACAACTGAAATTTTGGAAGCACATAAATCAAGAGACGCTTGGAAGGCACACGGCGGAGGCAAGAGACGCTTGGAAGGCACGAGCAACATATGAAAGCCTTAAAAGTAACCGACTTGAATAGTTAAAAAAAAATGGATGGCGAAGCAAGTAATACAAAATGAAAGAGCGATCATAAAGGAGGAAAAAAGTGAAGCTGTGGGAAACCATGATTATTTATATCCTGAAATGACATGGTACAAAGTTATTATATACTAAGGTTAGCTTAGTACAAGTCAACAAGTATGGGGCACCCAGTAAGGATGGAACTCAATACTCAGTAATTGTCAACCATACTAGTTCTCTAATCTTTAAGCTGCACGTCGAGGCGTCTAAATTGAAGGTTTAAATTTAACATTTGATTTTTTCAAACGTCTGATATGACAGCGTGAAAACAAAGATTTGTCTTTATAAAAAAACAAAGCCGTTTTATTGTTAATATATAATGGTTTTGTTCTCTTTTCCTTACAATCTATGAAAACAATTTCACTAACAGGTTAATTGTATAAAGTGTTAGCATCAAAATCCTGTAATCTGCACTCTCGAATACAGTGGGACATTTTTTCAGGTTACTAAATTTTGGGTTCGAAAGTAATGACAAAAATACTTTCTTCAATCTTTTGTCAGTTTCGAAGGAAAGCGAGTATTTGCCCTACACGATAGAACATTCTTTTATAACTTAAAGAACGTTTAGCTTATAGATTCTGGGATAAATTTTAATTATAAATTTCCAAATGATTCTACAACAGTAAATTTCGTGAACTTTCATATAATGCACTAAATAATTCCAGAAAGTCTGGTCAACGATAATTAGCCGCCCAATGTCGTGTTGCGGTTCGACCATTCGACAATTTATGAATTCTAGTTCAACAGTGTTGGAAAAATCACTTAAGTAGTTTCCCCTAATGAATTTGCAAAAGAAAATTAAAGCCCTAGGCTTAGAACAAAGTCAATAATTAAATCAGGGATACTTGATAAAAAGAAAAGGTTTTAAAATTTTATTAAAAAACAAAGTGGTAATATTCCATTTGGATTTGATTCTGCCTATAAAAATAAGATTAACAGTATCAATTTTCTTTCTTATTTTTTGACGAAGGACATTTCTGCATTTCTCTTTAATGAAATTGTACATATTTTTTTTTCGTAATGTCGTACCAAAATGAGAGTTAAAGTTCGGGAGCGCCGACAAAACAAAATGAAAAACAGATTCACTGACTTTCTTACCGGAAGTTTTGTGGGTTTTGTATCGTTTGTTCTAAATAAATTCGGGAGATTTGATTCAAGAAACAAACGGCTAAAATTAACTGCGTCTGATATATATTTTTTTTTTTTTTTTTTTTTTTTAAATCAAATTTTGTTCGTCTGGTCTTGTATGTGTTCATAGTTCTTTTGCCGCCAAAGGCTTTATTGAAATTCGAAGTCTTTCCTCGGGGATGTTTCAAAAACATTTTTATTACTTTCTCAAAAATAGAATATATATTTTTAAACGTTTTAAAAGATTTTTTCGTATAGCTATTTATATCTTTTGAATTGCTATTTTAGACAACAATTTACTACCTCTTTCACTCGAGGCGTTAGATAATTACTACTACTAGTTTTATCATAATTCTGTTTGCCCCTTCTCTTAGTAAGTACGAATGTTACGTCCTGCCAATACCTCAAATGGATTATTTCCGGCGTGGAAAGACGGAAGAGACATATCAGAGACGCTACTTGTTTCCAGAGAGAAAATGAATGAATTAATGAATGAAAGAAGGGAATATAGACGTGTTTAACATCTGTTTAAGTGAAATGGAAAAGATGAAAATTTCAATTTTTTCACTTGTGTCCACTTCTTAAAATAACAACCAGTATTTAAGATTTTTATTGCAATATTTTGTTAAAGTTGTTAAGCTCAAATATTTAACGATGTGATAATGGAATTTCTATGGATATTTTATTCTAGAACTCGTCATGAGCTTATTCAAGCATTAACTTGAGAATTAACATTTATCAGAAAATTCAAATAGGAAAACCATGAAATTTTCATAGGTATTTCTAGTAGTAGAATAATTGTTGCGTTTAAATGCCACATTCTTGTAATTTTCAGATCCTTATATTTGGAGATTTTGCAAATCTAATTATAACAGGAAGTTAAATTTTATATATTATAGGCGGGCGAATTGCGAAATTGCTGTACAGACATTTACCACCGAAAGCAAACCGAGGAAAATGCAGATGAACGATATGTGTGAAGAGGTACTCTAAAGATAGAAGCTGACTTGCTGGTCGTGGTGACCCAGGATAGCGTCATTAGAATCAATTCTATAAAAGCCAAGATGAAGATGCAAAAAGCATAGCAAATGCAGAGTGCGCGAATATACAATTCAGCCACACAAACGAATGTAGCAGTTTAGCTTAGAGTGAAAAGTTGGCGTGAATGGTCGAGAACGGTTACCCGGTGAGAACTTTGCAAAAGAGCTCGATTTGGCTATGCAGACCCATCATATATGCACACACACACACACACACACACAAAAAGGAGAATAAAAAAGAAAAAAAATCTTTTCTAAATTTTTGGATTCAAAGAAATCACTCAGTTAAGGTCAAAAGAACTGTTTTAATTACTGAGAGGGTGAGGACACCCGATAATGGATTTCATTAATCTGACTGACTTCAGAGTAAAAGAGAAAATAAACGAAAAACTTTGACAAAGAGTTTGCACATTATGGAACATGCATGGTGTCAGGTGTGTCAATCGTTGTTCAAGAACGACCCCCCAAAAACAAAGATAAATAAATGAAGGAATGAATACAAAATAAAAAAACCCGCAAAAACAAAACCAAAAAAAGAAGCAAAACAAAAAAAAACAAAACAAAAAACAAACAACAAAAAAAATAAAATAAAATAAAAAAAACGAAAAGACAAAACAAACAAAAAAAACAAAACAAAAACAAAAACAAAACAAAAAAAACAACAAACAAAAAAAACAAAACAAAACAAAAAAAAAAAAAAAAAAACCCAAAAAACAGTCCGACTGAAAAAGGCTAGAGAAATTGAAAATCAGGGTAAAAATCGAAACCATCCAGACGCTGCTCTGAAAACAGCTAGAGTCGCGGATGAGGATGATGCAGTATAGAGAAGACTTGTTGTCACTTATTCAATGCACCGAACCAGTTAATACTTGTTTGAAATATTAATAATATAAAAACTTGTTCCGGAAAATATTAGTCTTTAAGGAACTGTGGTAGAAATTACGTAGTTAAGATTCAGGGGGGGGGGAATTAAATAACCAAATTAAATATTTACCGAATGAATGAAAATAACTACAGCTGAAAGTTATCCAATACTTATTTATTTACAGAACTGAGACAAGCACAACGCTACTTGGTGAGGACTGATGTCACTTGGGGTACGAGACTAGCTTTTCTACCCGACTCGCTTAACACTTAGAGCAGAAGTATCCGAGTGAAAACGAAACGCGACAAATGTAGAAAGCCACACTAACAACTAGTGTTTGTTTATTCTTTTTTTTAGTAAAATGACTAATAATCTTGCTGATTTTAGCTTTCAATTTAGGGGGAAATTTATATCTAAAAGAATATCCAAACCAAATTTAACTGAATGAGGACATTTCTGATAAATTTCAGCGCGAAAATAAAGTATTCATTCAGGAAATTCATCCCTTGACCGTGAAAAGGAATTAGATTTTCTGTATAAAGTAGATCTTTTCAAGGCTGTATTTTGAAAGAGTAGTCTCCCTTAATTCACTCAGTGATTAAATTGAAGGGAGATAATCTCACACTATATATGATATCGATAATGTCATTTCTAAATTGAATTGCGAAGCAGCTCGTTTTGAATTTCTTTCGAATGGTGACACTTTATTAGTAATACTATTGTGTCGCAAATGTGAAATACCGTTTAAAATAATTGCAAAAAAAGAAAGAAAAATCGCGTTTTACTTTTTTTTTTAAATTTGTAAGTTTTTCAACAAATGATGCCGCACACATCACATGACAACATATATTTTAATATTAATGTTGTTAAATACATTAGCAAATTGTAGCAAAATTAGCCGACACTCCAACTTTGCCGAAGACCGAACCTTTAATCTCAAATTCCTTCATCTACAAATTACGAGTATGCGATTGTATTTCTGTAGTCACAAGCTAAAACGGATTCTTAAAATGAGTATAAAACTTCTTTACGACGACCGACATCTTTTCGTTGTCCT